ATAAAGGGATAAATGAGAGAAAGGGATGAGGTAGTATGAATATAAAGATGAATGATGAGAGATAGGATAAAAGGATAAGTGAGAGAAAGGGAGGAGGTAGTATGAATATAAAGATGAATTATGAGAAATAGGATAAAGGGATAAGTGAGAGAAAGGGAGGAGGTAAGGGGAATATATTGATAAAGGATGAGAGATAGGATAAAGGGATAAGTGAGAGAAAGGGAGGAGGTAGTATGAATATAAAGATGAATTATGAGAGATAGGATAAAGGGATAAGTGAGAGAAAGGGAGGAGGTAAGAGGAATATATTGATAAGTGATGAGAGATGGGATAAAGGGATAAGTGAGAGAAAGGGAGGAGGTAAGAGGAATATATTGATAATAAAAGATGATAATAATAAGAGATAGGATAAAGGGATAAGTGAGAGAAAGGGAGGAGGTTGTATGGATATAAAGATAAATGATGAGAGATAGAATAAAAGGATAAGTAAGAGAAAGGGAGGAGGTAAGAGGAATATAAAGATGAATGATGAGAAATAGGATAAAAGGATAAGTGAGAGAAAGGGAGGAGGTAAGAGGAATATAAAGATAAATGATGAGAGATAGGATAAAGGGATAAGTGAGAGAAAGGGAGGAGGTAAGGGGAATATACTGATAAGTGATGAGAGATGGGATAAAGGGATAAGTGAGAGAAAGGGAGAAGGTAGTATGAGTATAAAGATAAATGATGAGAGATAGGATAAAAGGATAAGTGAGAGAAAGGGAGGAGATAAGAGGAATATAAAGATGGATTATGAGAAATAGAATAAAATGATAAGTGAGAGAAAGGGAGGAGGTAAGAGGAATATAAAGATGAATTATGAGAGATAGGATAAAGGATAAGTGAGAGAAAGGGAGGAAGTAAGAGAATATATTGATAAATGATAAGAGATAGGATGAAAGGATAAGTGAGAGAAAGGGAGGAGATAAGAGGAATATAAAGATAAATTATGAGAAATAGGATAAAAGGATAAGTGAGAGAAAGGGAGGAGGTAAGAGGAATATATTGATATGTGATGAGAGACGGGATAAAAAGATAAGTGAGAGAAAGGGAGAAGGTAAGAGGAATATATTGATAAATGATGAGAGATGGGATAAAAGGATAAGTGAGAGAAAGGGAGGAGATAAGAGGAATATAAAGATGAATTATGAGAAATAGGATAAAAGGATAAGTGAGAGAAAGGGAGGAGGTAAGAGAAATGTAAAGATAAATGATGAGAAATAGGATAAAGGGATAAGTGAGAGAAAGGGAGGAGGTAAGAGGTATATTTGATAAATGATTAGAGATAGGATAAAAGGATAAGTGAGAGAAAAGGAGGAGGTAAGAGGAATAAAAGATGGATTATGAGAAATAGAATAAAAGGATAAGTGAGAGAAAGGGGGGTAAGAGGAATATAAAGATGGATTATGAGAAATAGGATAAAATGATAAGTGAGAGAAAGGGAGGAGGCAAGATGAATATAAAGATAAATGATGAGAGATAGGATAAAAGGATAAGTGAGAGAAAGGGAGGAAGTAATAGAATATGGTGATAAATGATGAGAGACAGGATAAAGGGATAAGTGAGAGAAAGGGAGGAGGTAAGGGGAATATAAAGATAAAAGATGAGAGATAGGATAGAAGGATAAGGGACAGAAAGGGAGGAGGTAAGGGGAATATAAAGATAAAAGATGAGAGATAGGATAGAAGGATAAGGGAGAGAAAGGGAGGAGGTAAGAGGAATATGGTGATAAATGATGATAGATAGGAGAAAATAGTAAGTGAGAGATGATAGATAGATAATAAGCGAGAGATGATAGATAGGAGAAAATGATAAATGACGAGAGATTGGATAAAATGATAAGTGAGAGAAAGGGAGAAGGTAAGAGGAATATAGTGATAAATGAGAATGATGAATAGGAGAAAATGTAATGAGTGAGAGAAAGGGAGAATGAGGAGGAAGAGGAGATTTAGGAATGAGAGAAGAGAAAGATGAAGAGGGATATTTGGATTAGAGAAAGAGGAAAAGAAAAAATGATAAACGGAAGAATAGGGGAAAGAGAGAGATTGATGCATGGGAGAAACGGGAAAAAAGGAGATTACCGAATGAGAGAAAGAGGTGAAAGAAAGAGAGTAATAAATGAAAGAAAGGAGAAGGGAGTGGATTAATAAATGAAAGAAATGGAGGAGGAGGAGGAGGATGTAGAGAAATAAAGGGAGAAAGAGAAAACTGATAAGTTAAAGAAAGGGAGGAAAAGGAGGAGATTAATTGATAAAAGAAAAGGGAGAAAGAGAAAATAATGAATGAAGGAAAGAGAGGATACTGAATAAAAATGGAGATGGAGAAGATTGATAAACGAAGGAAAGGGGAATAGAGGAAGAGATGATTAAATGGAAGAAAGGGGGGAAGAGAAAAAGATTGATAAAGGAGAGAAAGGGGAAGAGGAAGAGATTGATAAATGAGAGACATGGAGAAGGAGGCA